TATGTTATTTCTTAAACGAACTTAATGATTGTGGAGATACTTCTCTTTTATACTTGGAGACTTTGAGGAAAAAATTATATTATTTTAATAGTATTTAATGTGATTCATGTAGCCTTATTATTAACGCCCTTTAAGGTGGCAGAATGTATTAATATTCAATAAATAAAAAAATAGTATATAAGGATTTGGATTATTCATTCATAATTTTGCCTATTAAGTATAATTTTTTTTTAAACAATTTTCATTATTGAAGTTTTAAATTATAGATAAAAATATATTATTTTTTTATTTGAATGAAATTTACAACAGTATTACATGAAAAATACAACAAGTAAATGTGACATTGGTAACATAATATGTAAAACATGAAAAGAAACTACCCTCATTGGTAGAACTCAAATTAAAGTTCTATATGAGAAGGTCCCGAGGCCATCTTCTTTTCAGACACCTCGGAGGGTTATCAGGGATCGAGGAGGAAGCAAGGTTAGAAACGAGAGGGTTGGGATGATTCTGAAGTTTATTATGGAAGGATATGTATCTGGATTGGGCCAAATCGGAAACATATGGAACATTGAGGTCTTTATGGATGATTTTGTTTGTGACAAAGTAAGGAGCGTTGAGGATTTTAAGAAGGATTTTGGATTGTAAGGAGAGGAATTCGATGGTTTAGTGCAGCCTCAAAGCTCAATCCCGTAAGTCCAAATAGGTCGTATTATTGTCATATATATGAGTCTTTTGTAATTGATTGAAAGCTTAGAGCGTTTATCTAGTAAGTGCTGCAGTAGTCGAAAACGTCGGGCGGTTTCTAGTCGTTTCAGTCTGGTATGGGGGTTAGATAAAAATAAAACTATGAAACAAATCATTCGAAATATGTATACATATATTGTAAAAATTTTAACTGATAAGCCTTATCTAAACTCTCAGTTCTGTTTATGTAATATGTTAGAGTCTACAAAACTATTAAATTGTTGAAATTTGAAAACATTCCTTTTCGATTGTCCTGAGTTAATTTATATTTAAGTTTTCAGAAACCCAATTGTTTATGGTTTTCTTAATGCCATTTTTTTTATCTCTTGCAATGTCACCTACAATGCCTAAGTATGTTAAGTGGTTGAAAAAAAAAACCCAACAAAGGGGATTGCGTAAGAGACGGGCGGGGAGCTAATTTCACCCCAAAGATAATGGGGCCGTGTGAATGTTGCCCTTCTCGTTTTGAAAGATATTGTTTCGAGACTGATCTAATGATTTAACAGGTTTCCGAGCTCCCAGCCCAGGTGTCTAGTGAAAGTCTTTATCTGGTCTAGAACCTGCTAAGTCCATTCCGACCGATGCTCAGCGCCATGCACACTTCGATCCTATAAGTCATGTTATCAGTTAAAATATCTAGTAAACTTTTATTGTTATTGGATGAGAAATTGTCAAGGTTCAAGTCTATATATCCTTTAGTAGGTCTTCCGACGTCACGAACCAAACGTCAAGTGGGTCATCATCAGGTTGGAAAATATAAAAAAATCACATAAGAAATATAAGACAGAAGTCAAGATTAAAAGATGGAAAGTACGCAGGATATAATAGCAATTTAAACATAATAGTAATAATAATATAAACATAAATAAGAAGTGAGAAAAAAAACAGCAGGACTAAAGAATAATTGAGGTTAATGTTTAGTATTATAAAAAGTAATTGAGCTACAATTGGTACTTTATACGGCGAGATTTAGTAACTAAAAAGTGTATGTACGTGTATCAAAAGATGTAATCATAATTGAAAAATAACAATAATATAGATACTTGTTAACAATAAGCGAGGTTCCTATCAAGGGTAATTATACAGGGGTACCCTCCATGGTCGATGTTGTATGATCTTCCGTTCACCTCTTCCAAGAAATTTTATTTTTCATCTCTTCTTAAAAAACAGTACAGAAAAAGTAGAATTTAAAAAGTTGACCATGTACTATCACATTTGTTGCATTCTGTTCCTTGTTTGTTTTTTTTTTTCTCTCCACCCTTAAAAATTAAAAAAAAAATACTTACCACAGCTACCCATGAAGGTTCTTGGGTGCATTACTATTTAGGGAAAGTAGTGTTTCAATGCCAACATTTGTGCATAGAGGTGATCGTGCCGATATCACGCTTAACCGCCAGTTTTCCCTCATAATCAATTATTTAATTAAGAGTACCCACTTTATGGAGACTGGATGTGCCCTAGTAGAGTCTACCCACCCCCGGGTCGATCCCTAGCTAATGAAAAATTACTAGTCATTTAGTGCCTCTTCTGGGCACCGCGAAAAGGAAGAGAGGTGGATGTGGTAATCGCCATCTCACAGCAATTTAAAAAAAAATACTTAAAAGTTTTTAAACTAAATATATTAATTAAAATAAGATAATAATTAATGTAAGAATTGAAAAATACATAATTAGGTTATCTTAGAATAAGTAATAGTTGGGAGAAAACTTTACGAAGATAAATAGGGGTTAACGAAATTATGTCTAGGGCAGATAAGATTTCTTATAATCATTCGAAACATCGGCAAACTTAAATATCATATCTAGGCTGCAAATCCTTATTATTTATCATCTTTATAATTTTTTCCGTGTAATTATATTGGCTAGTCTGGAAAATTGTGTGGGATTTCTTATTTTGTTTTATGCAAATCCTCCTTATAACAAATATATGTTTGAGTTGTTATTCTTTTGTATGGTTGTCAATATTTATTAATCCTTTTCCAAACAAAAATAATATTTTATCTTCTGTAGCCTTTACTTGTCTTTCTCAGATTTCAAACATAATTTCGCTACACGACTTTAAACGTGGTCAGAACGGAGTCTAAAAGACTAGAGGCAATAATGAAGTATGGAGGGGGGGGGGCAGCGATTGCAGTGCGAGTGTATGCACTTTTCATAGATATTTTTTTTTTTTTAAATCAAGAGAGAGAATTCAGCCTTGAAGCCAAACATTTTCGTGAAAGTTTCTGATATATTTTAATCAATATCTTCATTATATTATAATAAAATTCATTATTATTTAATTTTCGCTATCACTATTTTTTCTTTTATCCCCTCTCTAATACGACGTTAAGATACAATTTTGAATAATAGCTCATTATAAACGGGGAGGAAGTGATGAATATTTATCTCCCTAACAATATCCTGGTTCGATTTTTATTTTTGAGATATTTTAATCCATAAGCAAAAACACTTCAATTATTCGACTCCAGTCGACTTTACCTGAACGTTACAAATCGGAAATATGACAGATCAATCTAATTTACTCTCGACAAAAAAGTGCAAAACTGGCCTAAAGAAGTTTCTTAAAACTTTTATTTTTGGAACATTTATCCTAAAAAGTTTCAACTCTTGGATTCTAGCATTCTGAAAATATCGCGGAAGAGTAAGGTTACACAGTTTTTCCAAAAGCAAAACACTTGCCATCGTTCTCTCCCTTCGTTCGGCTACTCAGCTAATCTCCCATGTTCTTCGGGGGTTACAAGGAAGAGGGAGTGGTTTAGTGCGTTCATATCCTAGCAGCGACAGTGAAAAGACAGCCCTGGACCGCAGGCTCCAGGAAGCAGAGAACTAATGATAGGACAATGCAGGAGCTGGAGGGAACGGTCGAGGGCGACCACTGCACCGTTACAAGGACCATTGCCGACCTCCGCACGGTACCTCGCTACCTCCCCGAGGTGGAGGGTCCTGCCGCTGTCTAGTCACTCTTATCCTGTTCGGTTCTTAGTCCGAAATAGTGGCTATAGAAAGTGCCCGGGGTGGGGGTACGGTCTCTGCAGGAAACCTCGTCCTTCGCGTTATTTGGTCATGTCACTCATGTCTGGATAGTTCGCTGGCTTGTGTTTATCTCATCCGGATCAGTAGTTTGGATATATTTATCAAGGATCCTATATAACCCTAAAGGTAAATTAATATCACACTAAAACCCTGGTTGTATATACACTCTGGCATGTTCACATTTTCATTTTCTTATATTGTATAACTATCATATATATGACATCATACTTGAATTGTATATAAAAATCTTGTTTAAGTTACAAGGACTATTTAAGAATTGAAGTGGAAATAGTCATGGTTGAATGCGCATAACGAATCGGTGAGATTATGAACAATAAAAGAAAGAAAAAAGTGTGCTTATATTTCGTTTAGTTTAATCATTGCTTTATTCAATTTTCTTGGGCATTTTTTTTCTTTCTTTGGATTCGAGAACTAATTATCTATCTCATTAAGGGATCAAGCATTTAATTTCGTGAGGGCTTCAGCCCGAAATATTTTTTTTATATATACAACGATAAATACTTTAGAAGAAAAAGAAAGAAACTATATGAAATGGTGAATTAGTCATTCTATTAAATGCAATTACACGAGTAGTAATGCTTTTAGAAATCATTTTTTAATATTTTTTTCATAAGACATTCAATATATTTAACCATTTGTGAGGGGGGAGGGAGGGTGGCTTCAGACTGAATGCCCCCTGTAGATCCACTTGCGATCTATCTTATAAATACTTTTGGCATCCTTTCATCTATAAAACGCCAATTTTTAAACGACTGCATGCAAGTGTAGGTATGAAGATTTTAAATTCACTTTTGCAGTTTTTCTCATGACTGCCCTGGTGTAACTGACAGTAAGAAGGAAATTTCGATGATACCTTAAGACTGTTTCATATGATAACACTGTTCAAACTTCATATAAACTGTTTAATGTATGATGTATTACAACTAATTTAATCAAGACATAATATCGAATTTTCGAAAAGTTATAACCTTATATTTATAGGTATTGTTTTATTTCCTTACATAAATAAAAGCTCCGCTTTTCTAATAGAATAAATTATTATGTCAAAATTTTGTATTTCAATTTTATAATAATTTGTCAAAGTTGAAAAAACATTCGCAATAGCATGTTCACGGAAATATTCCAACATGAATTGGTGTTTTATGCTAAATTTAGTCAATTAATATATTTTTTTGTATTTATATTTTTTTTTTTCAGGTGAGTTCAAAATACCTTCTTTGATTTTACTGAGCACTGTTTACTTAAAGGTAAATAAGTATTTTATTTAAACCATTGGACTCAGTAGTGGAAACTATTATTTTGACGTCCCAGATTATTCTTTTCATTTTTTAATTCAAGATTTTTCGTGGTTTTTAAATATATTTTAGATATTGAGCATAAGCACATAAAACAATTTAAGTATGGTTGCTTCAAAATTCATTTATTTTTATTTTATTCCTGCTTTACTTATAATTAATTCTAAGGTTTGATTGATATTTGATATGAAAATATTTCATACATTAATTATTATTTTCATGGTTTAGCGGAAATTATATTCTTATTAGCTAACGGTTTATATTATATTTTATGGTACCTAATAATAATAGATAATGGGTTTATATTAGTTTTTTATACGACATTAGGTGAATACTCAAAAAAGTCTTGTTACTTAAAGGATTTGTTCTCAATTGATTCAACTATCCTCCATAATATTTATTTTGTTCACCTTTAAATCGGTAATTATTTTTTTTACATGTTTATATATATAATATATAATGATGGTGGTGTAATAGTGCTAATTTATCGAGAGTTAATCAATAAAATTATTAAACCATTTTTCATCCCAAAATACATAATTCATCAGTTATTTCATCAAAATTTAAAAAAAATTATTTAGTAATGTCAACACATATTTTTGTGAGGTTTAGGACTTGGTCGTTTCCAATTAATTTTTTACACATATTTTTTACCGCGTGTCTAAAATGTTTGTAAAGTTATTTGTCACTATCATATAGACAAATATTTCCTTTTCAAAAATACAGGTTCGTAAATTTATTAAATACTGTTAATTAACTGAAGTTGAGAAATGGCTAATTTTCTGTAACATAGCTTCAATTTAAACCAATTCTAATGATTTTTTTTTCATTATTTAACTTAAAAATTCTCAAATAAAATAATCATAAACAGTTTGAATTGAACCTATAAAACAAAAATTGACTTTTTCTGAAAATGACTGATATATGTCTTTCATATCAAGCCAATCATCCTAATTAACAGAATATACTTGCCGAAATTTCTAGAAATTAAGTGTTTGATTTAGAGCTGATAATATATCATTTTGTTGATTATTAACTCAATCTAGGAAATTAACTTGATTCGGTAGAACACCTAAGTCAATTATTTATTATTTGTTTGTAGAGATGTAGCGAATATAGTAATATTACAATTTTTTAAATTTTTTGCCTGACAAAATTTAAATGCGTCACATCGTTTTCAAAATGAAATTTCTACAATCGACGTTTTTCAAATTTTCAAACTTACTGTTTAATAAATATTTGTTTTTTAAAAAATATATTGAACTTCATTTTAATTTATTTCACGCTTTAAAAAATAAATATTATTTCCTTTTGAATACAAAGATAAGTTTGATACAACGATGATAATATAACATTTACTTAAATGCATGGATAGTAGATGATTCAGTTTTTTTTTTTTAATATTTATCTTAAAAAATTATTTAAAAAAAAAATATTTGAACCCCCTGAGAGTGCACGAGCTATACTCGAACGCCTACTTAAATACCAATGGGGGATTACGTCAAAGCTCAACTATCTCTTAAATTACCATCGACCTTACGAAATGGAAAGTGAAACTGTTCGTCGTTTTAGCTCTACGGTTCATCTCAGGGTTCTCTATGGATTATATAAGTTTAAATAATTAAATAGTTATGCCTCTCAATCTAAAAGGTGCCTTCGTTCTATTTCGTAATCTTCTTGTATTCTTATTCAAATGAAGGTCGTGTTCGAATTTCGGTGATATATCTTCACCCTTAGCTATAATCATTCATCTTTATATAACACTGTGGATGGTTTCTTAACATAAATAAATTTAAAAAGGCGTTTTTCGAGGTTGTAGCACACTTTTTTTGTAATGAAAGTTTTCTTTAAAAATTATAAACTTATTCTATCTTTTAAATTGGACATTGTATTTATATGCATTATCAGGATTTACGACAGTCAAACTGAATCGGTTATTTCAGAAAAGACACATTTTTAACATTTTGAGATGCATATTTTCGTTAACTGATTTTTTTAAAATATATAAACCCTCGAGTCTCTAATCATGGTGTACAGTTAAACTACTAACGTGTCACTAATTCAGATATCGTCATCAGGACATAAAAAAAAAATCATCTATGTACAAATAGAAGAATAAACAAATTACTAGACATATCCTAAGTCGCTCAAATACTTACTGAAGGAAACGAGAGGTTACACAAACGCAGTAAAGGAAGTTTATATTAGACAACTATAAAGTAGTTATGAGAGAAAAGAAAAAGGTAGGTATACAATAAATACAAAAATACAATAATTTACTCAAAACATTTTTATGTTATTATATTTTTGAGTAGTTTTTTTTTTCGTATATATAATTATTTTCTCTCAACCTTCAATTCAGCTGTTTAGTATATTACAGTTATAACCTTCCTTTGATGCATTTATTAACCATGGTTTAAATCTATAATTGCTGTTTCCTCAATATCATATAATCTTTATTATGTCTGATTTTTAATTTATACATAAAAATTTAAGTCGATCTTTGATTTTTATTAATTCTATTAAAAATGATGATCACTTACTGAGTGATACGGTTTCACAGAAACAATAGCGATTAAACTGCCATAAAAAAAAAAAATTATCAAAAAATAAAAATCACCTTTTACTCACTAATTAAATGTTTTAATTTTTTAACATTATATTTTTGAAATCGCTTTAATTATGCACGCGGTGCCTTCACTAAAATTTATATGTCTATTTTTTATTCTAAAATTTCTAATGAATTTCGGAAATAAAGATGTTCTTTCTCTAATAGTTTGCAAAAATATTTTCCACCTAAAAATATATTCGAAAAAATAATAACAATACAATCTCAGACATGCCACTTATTCAAGGGTGTGTACCACTAGGATCTTGATAGAAGAAAAAATAGACGTTTCTGTTCTCGTAAGTTTTATTTATTTATTTTTTTCCTCCTCTTCCTTGCCTTTTAGGCTATACGGGGTTTTTCCGGTCTAGGAGGAGAGGGCGAGGGATTAATGTTAATGAGTTAAAAACCGAACCGATACTGGGACGTGAACTCTTAAAGTATCTTCCATCAGACACGCGTTATATATATTCTGCTGAACCAGGGTATGTGATTTATTTGTTTTTTTTCTTCTCTAAATCACCGAGTTCATTTTAAAAAAAAATAAATTGTGGAATATCCGCTTATTTGGTACTAAAATATGCATTTGTTAACAAAGTAACCAAAACTGCTCTAAACTCAGAAACGGTATAAATGACTCTTGTTTCTAAAATAACCATTTCAATTATTCCTAGGGGATAAAAGTTTTAAAACTCAGTTAAGAGAAAAAAAAGTTGATATCAGTTAGCAGGATAATTCCAACAATATAATTGGTCAGTGTAATTCCTGAAAAAATAAATAGTTTATTGCGTTTTATTTATTGTACGTTGCTTATATTTTTCTATTTTATTATCTTAGAAACATTTAAAATAACATTTTTTTACCGAGAAAATAACTCTCTAATAACTTACTATTTACAACCATTTATTGCAGTGCCGTAACCTTTATAATTTCACAGTCCTTCTCAAATATCATATTTAATTGATTTCCGCTATTAGAGAGATATTTAATAATTCTCTGGGATGATTAATAATTTACCTAAGATGCAGGAAAGAACAGAAACATTAGTTTCATACATGCAAAGTATTTTTTATTTTTAAAGAAATCGTTTTGGAGTTTCGTAATATTGATTACAGTTTTTATTCAATTATTTTTTTGCAATAACTATATGTTGGAAAGTTTACATGTCCATATCCCTGATTTGACTAGTTATATGAATTAATTATACATTGATAAAATCAATCAATTATACTCCTTTTAGAAAATTCAATTATGGACTTAACCTATTTTTTTTATATAGAAACAGAATTATCAATTAAATTATTTTCCTAATGAGACACAAAAATTGAACGCCATGACATCCATTATCTCATAAGTAACCAGCTATAGAGATTATAATTTACGAGTTGTGTTAGTGTTTATATGTAACATTAACAGAAAACAGTCAGCAAACCTGAAAATAATTTTTGTTGTATGTTGACTGGCGCAAATACGTTTTTATATGCAAAAAAAATTAATAAGAAACAATTTAAATATATTGTAAGGTAATTGTTTTCCAGATAAGAGATCACTTTTTAGACTTAGGTATTAATCCGCTGTTTTTTTTTTTTTTTTTTTTGTTTCCCCACGATATTATTAGACATGTTGCTAACTGTACTTACGACTACTTTAGCATTCCTCTTGCTCCACTGTTGTGACGCAACGCTTATATTTTCACCATGATACTGCATTTAATTCCTCTTCCTCAGTTTCTGTTGTCTTAAGTATTCCGGAAAGGTCTTCCTATAAAGATAATTCTTTATAGCATAGGTAGGTTTCATTAGTATTAGTTAACGTTCAAACTCTCGAAATGAGTGAGGTGTTGAATATTTTGTTTTTCTGTTATATTTGTTTTCTCTCTTTTGTTTGGTACCGCCTCTACTCACCCAACCACCACTGACAATCACAAACATATTGGATTTTATCTAAAAAAATTGAATATGCCCTTTCAATTTGTTTTCTCAATTTATTTTATTTTTGGAGCTACGGTCCTGAGTGGAACCTGGGATCTTCCTCCACAAGGCTCAACCATCTGACTGCTTACTCCTTTAAAAAATTAAAACAATAATTTTAGTGATTTGTGAACTTTTTCGATGTTAACAATTTTCTTTCTCAATACGATTCATATCCTTCCAAGCAATTGTCATAGTTTGTAAAACTGATAACAACATTGTTTTGTTCTGATACTTTCTTTCTCCCCTTTTCTGATGTTTTTCTTCTGTATTTATCTTTCTTTATGTAAGAGGATAGTAAATATATTTTCATATCAAAATATATAGAAATATACAGGAACAAACATTCATTCGTGAATCTTATTACATGGTGT